CTTTTAAAAGATTTTTATACAGTTGATGAAGGTAAAATATTTGTATTCTGTAAATAATGTAATATTCTTTAAGTTGCATATTAGAACTGGTATTCCATCTCCTTCCTCCTTGGCCAGTTTTGACACTGTTGACAACGGTAATTGTTTTTGAAAATTTTTGTTCTCTTGGCTTCCATGATACCGTCCTTGTCTAGGTTTTCTTCCTTCTCCCTCCTATCTTTAGCTGCCTTTCAGTGCATCTGCCTCAATTTCCCCCCCCGCTTTTCTTTTCCTGACTAAATAAGCCCAGTTCCCTCAGCCTCTCCTCGGGAGTCATGTGTCCCAGCTCCCTCCACTGGACTCTCTCCAATTTGTCCACATTCTTTCTGCAGGGAGAGGCCTAGACCTGGACACAGGACTCCAGGTGTGATGTCCCTTGATCAGTTGGCAACACTCCTAATACAGGTTTCCTTTGCTTTATGCAGGTTCTGTATGTGGGAATTCACTCTTAAGCAATGACCCTTTTCAAACCAAAAATTAATTATATGCTAGGTAAATTCACTCATGTGATCGGTGTGGTGGAAACCTGCAGTCAGCTGCTTTGTGCAGTGCATTGTGGGAGTGGTGTGGATCTGTGCTCCTCGTTAGTTGTCTGTGACGCGTTTCTGTAGTTGCCATCCCCATTATGGCTTCTAAGCGTCAGGCTAGCTTATCTCCTATGGATATTACCCTGCCTGCACGTCCTACCAGTGATGTGGGGTCTGACACTGAAGACCCTTCACCACCCTCTCTTCACACCAACTAAACATTCACCCCCACTCTGTGCTTGTGTGCAGGGCCATACCTGGGGATGCAAATTGGAGTCACTGCCCTAGCCCCAGCGCTCTGTGGAGCCCCGTGGAGCTGAGCAGAGTAGCTGAGGCAACTCTGTGCTGCTGTCAGCTTCATGTCTGCCACCCAGCACCCCCCCAAATCTTCTGCCGACTTCCTTGCGTCTGGGCCTGGGGCCTGCACAGGCTTTTTTGCCCTGGGCCCCGCATCCTGCTCGGATGGCCTCTGCTCGTGTGCACTGTCTGCTGTTGGCGAGCACCAAAATTGTCTTGTGAAAGTGGTAGAAAGGGGTCTGGGGGTCAACACAGCCGAGGTCTTGGACCGTATCCCTGTGTGTAACACTGTCAAGTGAGCTCCCTTCGCGCCCGTGCGAGTTACCTACGTGCAAAACGCGAGGGAAACCCGTACTACGGCTGTGGCCGTCAGCCCCGTGCTGTGCCTGTGCAAAGCCCCTCTCCTCTCCTGCCCTGTTCAGCTACAGCTTTTCCAGCGGCAGCCGGTGTCCTGGGGGCGGGGGCTGTCCGATGCAGTGAGTTAAATCCTGCGAGAGGTGAGGGTTGTTCGGGGGCAGGCAGCGAGCCGAGCTGCGGGGAGCGGCCAATACTGCTTGTGTCAACAGGGGAATGCGGCGGCTTTCAGCTCCTCCGCTCGCGCCTGAGGCGGCGGGGCGGCCGCGGGCGCCACAGGCCTGGAGAGCGGGGCCGGGGCCGGAGCCGGGTCTGCCGGCTCCGCCGTGTTTACATTCTGCCTCCGCGCCACGCTGCCGGCTGCCGCCCCGCGCCATTG